CTCAAAATTGTTGCCTCGGCTGCATGTTTAGAATTGTAACCAATCAGGGCCACCATAGGAGTCGAATTGATGCCTTTATTAAAGCTCGTATTCAATGCACTATGTATTTGTTTCACGTATCTATCCCAATCTCGCTCATCTTTTCCTGCAGCAGTTGTTGATAGACCACTCACGATTGTTTTGTTGTAACGTTCACATTGACCGTTAGCTCTAGGCGTGGCGACTGCATTTAGGACGTGCTTTGTTCCATATGTGTCACAAAATATTTTAAAGGTTCGAGATGTGAAGGCTGTACTTCTATCGCTTATAATTCTTGAAGGTACCCCAAATTAATAAATTAGGTCGGTTAAGGCCTTAATAACGTGCTTACTTTTTTTATTATGTACCGGCTCTATTATTGTAAATTTGGTAAATGCGTCAACAATTACAAAAATATACTTATTTTCCCTTTTGCTTGTGACAACATGATCTACGTGTATCGTATGGAAGGGAATTGGATGTTTTTCTATTGCATTTATACTAAGTGACATATAAATCCGAACACCCAGTTTAAATGGTTTTATTTTAATAAAAGTTGGTGAATGTATTTATCTTACTGTAAATAACAAGTGAAAAAATTTTCAGCCTTATCAGTTGGACATTCCGGTTTTTATACTGCTTTTTTTTAATTCACTAACGTTCTAAAAATCAACGAAAAGAATTAACGTTGGCGGATTTTGGTTCTTGACATCCTTTACGATCGGTTACGATGCCTAGAGTACGGAGACCTGTACGATTTCGTCAACTTAGTGAGTTTGATAGGGGCCGTATAGTGGGACTTCGGGAAGCTGGACCTTCTTTTCGGGCAATTGCAGTTAGAGTGCAAAGAAGTGTAAACACTGTGGTTAGGTGTTGTCAGGCATGGCTTCGAGAAGGCCGTACGCAAAGAGCAAGGGGCACTGGGCGCCGCCGTAGAACAACAGACCGTGAAGATGGCCGCCTAAGATTATTGGCCTTAAGGGACCGTTTCTCCACTACCAGGTCCATTGCAAATGAATGGTTTGCAGAACACGGAAGACCTATTGGCATGCGATGTGTTTACCGACGAATGAGAAGTTTTGGCTTGTTTTCATACCGGCCACACTGGGTCCTCCCTTTAACTCGAGAACACCGACGTAATCGCCTTGAGTGGTGCAGACAACGGTCACTCTGGGATCAGGAATGGAACAGTATTGTCTTTAGTGACGAGTCTCGATTTTGTTTAGGCATGCACGATGGTCGTGCCAGGGTTAGAAGGCGACGTGGTGAAAGGAGGAATCCACAGTTTTTTGTTGAAAGACATGTTCATCACACTGTTGGAGTTATGGTTTGGGATGCTATAGCTTTTGGTTCCAGGTCACCTTTAATCTTCATCAGAGGTAACATGAACGCGCAGCGTTATATCCACGAAGTTCTAGAACCCCATCTTTTACCCTATCTTGACACCCTGGCAGATCCAACTTTCCAACAAGATAATGCCCGACCACATGTTGCAAGAGACACAATAGACTTCTTTCAACATAATGATGTCACACTGTTACCATGGCCACCAAGATCTCCCGACTTATCTCCAATTGAGCACGTGTGGGATATGTTGGGTAGGAGATTGCTCAATTTGCAACGTCCTCCTCAGACTCTAGAAGCACTTCGAGAGGAGTTGGTGGTTGCCTGGAATGAGGTACTACAGGAGGACATTGATCACCTGATCAGAAGCATGCCTAGGTGCGTTGGAGAATGCGTAGCACATCAGGGTGCATCCACACATTGTTAAAGGTCAAAGGGCTTTAAAGCAGTGCAATCATTTTGAAATTTTTATCATTTACTTATTATGCTTCATTAAGTACTTATACAAAATTTTATTAAAATAAAACCATTTAAACTGGGTGTTCGGATTTATATGTCACTTAGTATATTTGCATTGTGGTTTTGAGGAGCATTTCTTGTAGTACATACAATTTAGGCAAGAATTAACATATTTCGTTACAAATTTTCTCATTTTCGCAAACCAGTAGTTTCTTTTAATTCGTTGCAAAACTTTTTCTACTCCAAGGTGTCCGCAATCGTCGTGACATAAGCGACAAATTTGTATACGTGCTGCTCGTGGGACAAACCATGTCTTGGTTCCATCGTCTAATTTCCTATACAAATTACCATTTTTCAATTCGTATTGATCAAAATATAACTTCGTCTCATTATTCCTCACTTTACTCGTTAGTATATTTCGGATTCTACAAATCTGTTTATTTATTTATTTATTTATTTATTTATTTATTTCCAACAGGTGAAACCCAATTACAGGAAACGCTGAAAAAAAATAGCAATTAAAGAGACATGGTTCTTGGACTTAAATCTATAGTATCACACATTCTAAATAAGATTGGATGATCTATAACAGTTAATAATCGTTGCACAACTGTCACTGTAAATATCACACGATTCAGTAACACTGTTCATGACGCAGCACATGAAATTAATTGGCGATTTTGTCATAGCATTTGTACGGCCAGCTTGACAATAGAATGCCATTTGTTGTCGACTCCCTAGCCTTGGAACGCGGAAACATATTTTTTCAAGTAAATTTTGACAGTCAATTTTGTTGTGAATGAGGCCATACAAAAACGACAAAGCAAATATGTTTCGTCTTGTTGATAGTGAATCCAGATTGAAAGACTCTAATAGGGCACTATGGTCACAACCTCTTTCTGGATAAGAACCTGTGCATTTAAGGTGAAAATACTTTAAAGCTTTACGTTGAATGGCCTCAAGGATCACAACAGAATTTTGGTATATAGGAGACCAGATCAGAGTCGCATACTCCAACTTGCTCCTGACAAAAGTAAAAAATAAAATCATTAATGTATCAACATTGGAGAAACCCTTCCAGTTTCTGATACAGAAACCAAGTAGTCGAGTGGCAGCCGACGAGATATTGAGTATGTGCTCAGTAAACGTTAGCTTGGTATCAAATATGACTCCAAGGTCTCTATAAGAGGTGCATCTGTCTATAACCTGACCATTGATGTTATAATTATCATAAATTAAATAGTTCACTTTTCTTGTATAAGTCATAACTTTACATTTCGAAACATTCAGACTGAGACAGTTTCGTGAACACCATGACGAAATTAGAGCTAAGTCATCTTGCAACATGACGCAATCCCCGACTGTCTTGACTGACGTGCAGATTTTGAGGTCATCAGCGAAAAACAAATGGAAACACTTCAGTTCAAAAGACAAATCATTAATAAATATTAAAAACAATAATGGACCTAGATTTGACCCTTGAGGTACCCCAGACGTGGCCCGATAGTAACTCGACCTATGACCACCATATTCGACAAATAACCTTCTATCCCTCAAATATGAATTCATGAGCGACAGCATTGCATCAGACATACCCACTGTTTTAAGCTTATCCAGAAGTGCATAATGATCAACTTGATCAAAAGCCTTCTGAATATCTGTGTAGATGACATCAACTTGTCCCTGACCGTCCAGTACTTCAGAAATGTATTGAGTAATCAGAGCCAAGTTGGTCACTGTAGATCTGCCTCTCATAAACCCATGCTGATTAATAGAGACTGCACCCCTGACAGAGCAGTAAACCGTTTCATAAGCGATGATCTCAAACAACTTGCTGAAATTGCACAGGATTGCTATTTGGCGATAGTTGGAAATATCAGAGATATCTCCACTTTTGTGAATAGGACATATTTTAGAGGTCTTTAATCCTGTAATTGTGCTGCAGTAATCCAGTCCGCTTCCGTCAAATCTTTTTGGAATACTTCTAGCTCAATGTCGGTGATTGCTATAGGGTTTCTACTGAGGGCGTCTACATGAGTCATTTTTTTACCAGCTCTATACTCAATTTCAAAAGAATATTCTTGATTCTCCAGCCACCATCATCCAATGCGAGGAATTAAATCTTTTTTTGACAGGGTCGTCCGCAAGGCATTACAATCAGTGATTATTTTGAAATTTATCCCCAGCAAATACACTCGAAAATATTTTAGAGCGTAAATTACAGCCATAGTCTCGAGTTCGTAAGAGTGATATTGTCGTTGATCACATGTTGTTTGTTTGCTAAAATAGGAAACAACATGTGATTTACCTTCAGAGTCAAATTGAAGTAACATTGCTCCTAGGCCAATAGAGCTTGCGTCCGTATGAAGTTCTGTCCTTAATTTGGGGTTATACGAGTATATTGCAAGGATCGGGCGTGATGTTAATGCCTGTTGAATTTGATGAAACGTCTCTTTTTGTGGTGCATCCCAGGTCCAAATTTCATTGTTACGGGTTAATCTTGTCAAAGGCTCGACAATCATGAAAAATGCTTAACAAATTTCCGGAAATAACTGGCTAACCCGAGAAATTGACGTACTTGCTTACCGTTGCGAGGATACGGCATATCTAGAATTGCCTGGATCTTCCTTTTTCCAGGTTTTACCCCTTCCAAGGTACTCTATTGTCGTTTCCAGAAATACACATTTCTGGACGATGAAATGCAGTCCGAGAAATCATGCAACAAAGAGATGCAATCCTTCTTATCAGCCTCCAAAATCGCACCTATCTTTATATTATTCAGATCCAAGCCGTTGTCGTAAACTTCAATTAAATTCACAAACATGTTTTCGGTGGGAGGCAACCTATGTAAAATTAATCGGTTCTCACGTTTAGTCATAACCACGTGTTCTTGGTTAATAAAATCTCTTCCGACCAATAAATCGTGTTTCAAGTATTTGTCCGGAACAATTATGGCATTCACTACTGCCGAAACTCCCTGTATACTAGCGGTGATCTTGCAAAACGATGTGCTGTTCAAAAAGGTGCCCATAAAAGTGTATATGGTTAAATCTTTTGAATCCGTACGAAGAAGCCCAAGTTTTTTAACGAGCGATTCTTTTATAAGTGTGTTATGACTGCCAGAGTGTATTAAATAGTTTGTCTTCTTTCCGCAAATTCGGGCATTTTGCAAAAAAATATTACACACTTCTTAATACTTCAACTTGTTGCTCTTTCTTACGCGGAAAAGGACACTTTTCTTTACTATGTCCCAATCTTTTACAATTGGTACATTCGACGCGTGGCTTTCTGCAGTTAAATGAAATATGGCCCAGAATACCGCAATTAAAACATGTTGAGCGCGTACCTGAAGGCTTATTAACTTCCCTTTTATTATGATTGCTATAACCAGATCTGGAAGACGTTGACGGTTGAAATTGTCCACTGTTTAGATGAACACTTTTTCTTTCTTGAGGCATTTCGCCTACAGTGTTTAAATAAGCATATAAAGCGTTTGCATCCGTATGTTCTGCAGCCCTGACCGTTCTTGCTATGTTTTCATCCCTGATACCACCAATCACTGCATCAATCAAATATTGATCATATATGTGTATATTAAGTGCTCTCAATTTAGACAGTTTTTTAAAACAATAATCTCCTAAATTTTGCCGCGGTGTTGCTTCATAGTTAGCGGCATCCTTAAATAATTTAGAAAATAGAAGCGACTTACGGAATTGTTGGCTCATTGATTTTTTTATTTCATCATACTCCACATTTTCGTCGTACCACTGACGAGCATTGCCTCGTAATCTTCCAGAAATCAATCGTAAGATGGTGTCATCATCCCAATGATAACGTTCTGCCAAGCGGTCAACTTTATCCAAACACTTATCCACAATCACATTGTCCCGATTAGGATCAAACGTCGGCACTAAGAGTTCATCTTCCGCACGAATAATCGGGGGGCATCGTTTTAATTCGTTCAACTCTTTTCGCAATCGCTTTATAGTTTTCCTTTTAGTCGATCTATCGGAAGAGGCCGAACTCGAACCGTCACTGTTACTTTCACTCGAGGATTCCTTTCGACTCCGTTTTCCACTTTTATTCCGTGATTTCGATTTCCCCATGACGGATAAAAATTTTATCTGATTTTGAAGTATCCCACCGCTGCTTTGTAACAAAACACCGGTATTCCGAATTATTCCAATATATTCCGAAATTACATTCGCTGAATACCACGTCTAATTCTTAACTAACTCAAAAAATATCCCTCGCTCCGTACTATTGACATCCAACATCAACATAATAAAAAACAGGTTACGGATACGAGGTCTCGACGATAAGTTCTAGCCTAAACAACTATATCGAGTAATATACAGGGTGGCGCATCGAAAACGAAACAGACTCATTTACCGGCAGCTCAGTTTTTTTTAAAAAACGCTGAGACCCTTCGATTTTGTTTTCGAGGGAGACACAAGTTTGGTAAAAAATCACGTTAGCACGTGCAGTCCCCTAAGCGGGGGTGACACCACCCCCAAAATCTTAAATGGAAAGGGGGGTCGAGTGATACCTTATTTCAAAGGTCCTTCAATTCCCTTTATAATGATATAAAATTAATGTACTTCAGTTCAGTAGTTTTTAGGATTTATCGATTTAAAGCTTTAATAAAACTAATACGTCATCATTAGTGGAGATCAATACGTTTGGCAGCAAAGTAATTTAAAAATGAAGAATGAGCTGACCCGTTAGGCAAGTAAATGTTGAAAACGGCCACCATGACTCTCCATGCAATAATAAAGATTTTGCTCAAAACGTTGCCGCACATTTTGCAATATTTGAGGAGTAATTTGAAGGCATTCATTCACAATTCTTTGTCGCAGGTCTTCTAATGATGTTGGCTGAGTAGCATAGATTTTGCTTTTTAAATGACCCCACATAAAGAAATCCAAAGGTGATAAATCTGGCGATCTTGGGGGCCATTCAATGGCACCTCCTCTACCAATCCATCGATCTGGAAACGTCTGATCTAAATATTGTCGAACACGTAATGCGTAATGTGGTGGGACACCATCCTGTTGGAACATCAACCTATTCGCAATGCACCGCCGATCATTCTGATTTTCAATTATGGCTGTTAATGCAGGATCTATGGCGTCTTCCAGTAATTCCAAATACATTTCACCGGTCAAATTTCCAGGTAATAAAAAAGGACCAACTAAATGATCGCCTAAAATACCAGCCCAAATATTTAATTTTTGTGGCTGCTGTGTATGAACCTCATGATAAATTCTGGGATTAGAATCGGACCAATATCGGCAGTTATTACGATTTACTACGCCATTTAAGAAAAAGGAACATTCATGGGAAAAGCAAGTGTTGAATAGAAAATGTTCATCGTTTATAATTCGTTTACTCATATCTTCACAAAATTGTAATCGCCGATCAAAATCGTCTTAATTAAGTTCTTGTACCAGGTGAATTTTATACGGATGAAAACTATGGGTCTTTAGAATCCATTGGACAGTACGTCGACTAACACCACACACAGTCTCCAATTTGCGGGTTCTTAACGTAGGATCCACATAAACTTGCCCTAAAACTCCCACTTCTATTGCTTCGTTCCTTATGGGATTTTCAATGTTGCATTGTTTATTGGCGACTGACCCAGTTTCCCGAAATTTAGCTACAAGTTCTAGAACATATTTTCGATGCACGTTTCTGTTCTCATGTCGCCCATTAAATATTTCTGCTGTTCTATTAGCGCACTCATTATTTCCGAAAAATATTTCGATAATTTCAACTCTTTCTGCTGTGGAATATACCATCGTTAATTTATGTAATAAAGCGTTACAAGTTATTTTAGCAACAAAATTTGGTCAAGTCAATCACAAACTATGTACTAAATTCCTATTTAAAATAAGTACGAGATATTTCCTTATCTTTCTTCAAGAAATAACTTTTTTGCCACAAAAAAAACGCTCCAGCAGCTATTTTCAACAACAAAATGATAAACAAACCATGCGCGTAGTGATGAAAAGCATTTACTTATTAAGTAAATTCTTTTAGTCAAATTTCTTCTGAAAGTAGTACAAACTAATCTGATGTACCTATCAAAGTCTACTTTAAGCTTTAAATCAATAAATCTTCAAAACTACTGAACTGAAGCTCATGTATTTTATATCATTATAAAGGGAGTTGAAAGACCTTTAAAATAAGGTATAACTCGACACCCCTTTCTATTTAAGATTTTAGGGTCACCCCCGCCCAGGGGGCTGCACGTGTTAACGTGATTTTTTGCCAAACTTGAGTCCCCCTCGAAAACCAAATCGACTGGTCTGAGGGTTTTTAAAAAAAAATGAGCTGCCAGTAAATGCGTCTGTTTCGTTTTCGATGCGCCACACTGTATAATGTAACGTATTGCTAAGGAAATATTAACACAGAAGCGATAATAACAATAGCGATAATTATATATATATACAGGGGGACTTCGAAGTTGAGTCATTTATTTTAACAGTGAGTAGATCTGATCAAAAGAAATGTTTTTTTTCCTTTACCATTTTTCTGGTAAAATTAAAGTAACAAAGTTATAGCCCTTTGGAAGTTTGAGTACCGCCCTGTCTCAATAATATCATGTGCTCGTGTTTGGCAACAACGGGTATAATCCGCCTTATCGGTTCATCGCATCGGAAACAAAAAAGCGAAAGAATTTGGAACGATGTTTTTACAATTATTTTATTCAGTTCAGTTATACATATAGTTATACAGAGTTTTTGAATTAATTATTTCCGAATAGGTGGATTGTACATAATGGACCCGTAGCTTGGCCTCCGCGATCTCCAGACTTAACACCATGTGATTTTTTTCTTTGGGGAGAAATGAAACGCTTAGTATACAAAACTGAAGTGCATACGGTTGACGAACTTCGTCTCAGAAGTAAACAAGCTGGTGCTTTCATTCGGGGGAGGGACTCCATTCTCAAAGCCTGCACCGATGCTTGGCTACGTCGTGCACGCACCTGTGTTTTTGAATCAAACGGCGATAACTTCGAACAATATCTATAAAGTACGTTTACCTAAAAACTGAAAACGCGGCAACGCCGTCATATTTGTTACCTCTGTTCGTGGTCTGCACCACCACCAGCGTCTGCTCGGTAGCGCATCAGCTGATTTCATTTTCTGTTGGAGCGGTATGATTTCAGGCAGAGACGTACTTAGCCCTTCTCGTCAACTGGAGAGTGAGTACTTTTTCCTTTATTTTTTTTACTTGGTCGCCCTCGTTTCACTACACATTACCTTTGTTATTTCAAGGGTAGTTGTTTCTGAAAAAAACAACCCCAACTTTGCGGTCACCCTGTATATATATACAGGGTGTCCCGCGAGGTAGCACAAATCACAGGAGTGAAAAAACAAAATAGTGCACAAAGAAGAACTACTCTGAAGGATAGGTTGTAGGCAAGTAAACACCGCCGCATTTTATATATATATATATAACAACAAGTAGGAAAATAATGGGCAAAATCCGCAAATAGGAGGAAAGTGGATTCGAGCAAAAAATAGGATAGGTAACCCGAGCGATACGTATTTCTGCTGGTTGGCTTCATCCGGCCCGAAATGAATGCACATATGAAACTACAAAAGTAGATACATATGCTCACACATCCGGATAGGGTGTAACTGGAGGAAACGAAGTTGGAGAGGGAAAAAACGACACACGAAGTCCACAACAAGAGCCAACCTACACATTGTAGTATAAAATGGTTATACGTCCTCGAATTTTCAAGGAGACGTCTAACCACAACCACGCGGCCGGTTATAGCCACTTGCTGTATTACTTCAAGCCCTAAGGATCTACAAAGAGAATATGATCATGCGAAGAAAGGTATATAACAACAAGTAGGAAAATAATGGGCAAAATCCGCAAAAAGGAGGAAAGTGGATTCGGGCAGAAAATAGGATAGGTAAGCCGAGCGATACGTATTTCTGCTGGTTGGCTTCATCAGGCCCGAAATGAATGCACATATGGAACTACAAAAGTAGATACACATGCCCACACATCCGGATACGGGTGTAACCTGAGGAAACGAAGTTGGAGAGGTCTGATAAAGCCAACCAGCAGAAATGCGTATCGCTTGGGTTACCTATCCTATTTTCTGCTCGAATCCACTCTCCTACTTTTTGCGGATTTTGCCCATTATTTTCCTACTTGTTGTTATATACCTTTCTCCGCTTGTTCATATTCTCTCTCTCTCTCTCTCTATATATATATATATATATAGTGATTTGAGCTGTTTGTGTGTACTTTAAAACTGAAAATGCCAAAGGTACGTGTGTCCGTCCAAGGTGCGTAAACGCAATTGCCATAGAAACTGCGAGCTTTAGAGATTAGAGGATTATCGTTTATGATGATGATAAGGATAAGGTAAGTTTTTCAGTTCAACTATCTTGTGTAATTGATTCTATAAGTCGTTGAATCGCGCAATAAAGTTTTGAGTAAAGGTAGACTTACTCAGCTTTTTTTGTGCCTTTAGGTTTCGTTCTTCTGCTTTGTCGTGTCGGTCAAGGCGTGGTCCAAATTCGATTACCTTGTGTTGGATCTAAATAACAATGTCAAATCAAAACTGATATTTTGTCATACAGATATTATACGTATATGTTAGTGCGAATGTAACTACTCCTGACTGGCACATTGATACTGAACT